GTCCTGTGGCTCTGTGGGAAGGCATCCTGGGAAGTTCTTCCCATGTCCCAAGTCTTTGGAGCTACCTTCCATCTGAGGGGATTGCAACACTTCCTGAACCTTACAGTGAAGGGAAATGGGCTCCTGTGTCCAAAGCCTTCAGACTGAAGTGTGTGCCAAGTGCTTTGCAATCTGTCTTCCATAGTTCCCTCATTATGTCTGTGATAGGGTTTATCATGTTGGTACAACACCTTACTGAATAAACGTTGGGACAGATGGAGGGGACAGAATAGAGGAGAAGAGTAAGAAGTGAGTGACATTGAGCTGTGAGCTCTTTACAGGGACAGTCTGTCTGTGAGCTTCCTGTGAGGACAAGCATGTGACAGACACATGGTACTGGCTTTCCGTAAAAGTTGGGGCATGCATGAGCTATGCAAGATGAAGGTGAGCTGCTGTGTATTTGGAAAAAAAAAAAAAAAATATATATATATATATATATATATATATATATATATATATATATATATATATATATTTTACAGAGAGGAATGGAGAGAGACAGAGAGTTAGAAACATTGATGAGAGAGAAATATCGATCAGCTGCCTCTTGCACACCCCCACTGGGGATGTGCCCACAACCAAGGTACATGCCCTTGACTGGAATCAAACCCAGGATCTCTCAGTCCGCAGGCAGACGCTCTATCCATTGAGCCAAACCAGTTTCGGCTGAAATATTTTATTTAAAATTATATTTCAAATGAAGAGTTCCTGTTGTTGAAGAGGTATATTATTACAAATCCTTTTGTGTGGTGAATTTTCTTGATCTGGATTTCATCATGGATTTTAAAGACATGGTATTAAGAAAATTATAGTTGATGAAGAAAGCATGAATGGTGAGGTGGCCAATATCTGGTGGGTCAGAGTTTGAATTGCTGACAGTATCTTGGATTCTGTAGCTCATTGCTGGCTGGTCTGTCCGCATGTCCATTTGTCCATCTGTCCATCCATCCACTAATTTGTGTCTGTCAGGTAGGAAGAAGTTTTTTTAATTGTTTATTTTATTTTATAATTCTTAACTACTTTTATTTTAAAAAAATTTTTTTTATTGATTATTGTCTCACATAATTGTGCTTATTCCCCCATTCCCATCCCAAACCCCTCCCTAGATATGCACCCCCCCCAACCCCCGAAGAAGTTTTGTTGCTTACCAGCAGTGTAGTCGTTCGTCTCTCAGGGGTGCAGAATGATGGGTTTCGTCCAGGTTATATAAAGGGTCATATTAATGCTAGCTTTCTGAAGTTCTTACAGTTTGATTATGTATAAGACATTGGGAGGAATACTGGAATAAATTAAACCTGAGTCCGGCCTCCAGAAGGCACACAGTGTGGGAGGTGTGCTGATATGTGGAGGGCCAGCAGTAATGCAGTTAGAGAGTGACCAGGAACTAGATACACTGCAGTGAAACGAGGGGGATTTAGAGAAGAGGCCGATTCTTTTTAGCTGCAACATTAAGGAAGGTTGAGGGAAGGTGGCATTTCATTTGAGTGGAGGGAAGTAACACATTAAGTTGTTGAGAATCAGTTGATTATCCCCTTTGTCTCATTTAAAGGTCACCACAGTGAGATAGGCTTAATCATCTCCATTTAGCAGGTGAAGAAACTGAGGCAGGGAATGTCCAAAGTCCCCAGCTGTTTCTTGGCAGAGCTATGACTCAGGAGGAGATCTGTGAACTCCATGTCATCCTTACCTCTTACAGGGAGAGTCCGGAAAGAGATGAGGATGTGGGGCCTCTCTGGTGAATAAAAACCCTTTCTCGCTGGGAGAGCCCGGCAGAAGTGCCTGCCCCTCTGAGGAGCAGACGGGGTATCCAGGGGCCTGGAACACTGTGCCCCAGGGTAAGAGCAGGGACCCAGAGCCTGAGAAGGCAGCCTGGGGTTTGAAGGAGAGGCTCCCAGAGCCTGGCTCTACAGGATCTGGTCTTTATTAGGCCCAGGTGGAGATTCTGTGCAGGGACGGGGTGTGATTAGAGGGGTACATTTCAGGATGTTTATGACTGTAAGAATACTTTCATGGAATTCAGCAATTTACTGTGATGCTGAGCAAACACCTCCCCAATGCCTCCTGCGGTCTAAGCCTTGGAGAGTCTCATCCAGGCTTCTGCACTGAAGAGCCCCGAGCCCTGGCTCCGCCATCCTGAGCATCAGCACTTTAGAAATCCCTGCTCAGGCCTTGGGACTTTGAGAAGGAAGTTCCTACTCTTGCCCCTCTCCACTGTTCCCTTGATTTTAACCAGTTTTCTGCTTTTTCAACAGTTCTGCTCAGTAAACAAATCATTAGTTCTCCTTTGGCCTTGCTAGTGAATAATATACCATAATATTTAGATTAAAGCAGGGTAGTAGCTACACTAGAAAAACACACCCCAGTTTCATGATGAATTCCTCATTTTCCTTTTTATTCGTGGAATCCTGGGGTGGCCTGCTGGAGAAAAAAATACTATTTGATTCTCGCTGGGTGGTCAGACAGGATTGTAAAGACTCTTGTTTGTTTTGTGTTGAGGCTTCAAAGTCACGCAGGCTTCTCTACAAAAAGATGTCCTAGAAAAAGGGGATTTTTTTTTTTAAGTTGCTGTGTATAAAGGGAAATTCAGAGCAACCATCTTCCTTTAGAACTGCGAGCTAATGTGATTCTTTCACCAGGCACCTTTGTCGTTTCTGTGTCTGGTCATTACCACCGGTCTTAAGGGGAAATGTGTTACAAAAGCGATCTCCTCCTGGGTTGTGTTTTTTTTTTTTTTTTTTTTTTTCTTTTTCCCCTAAACCATTGCAGGAGCATGCACTTGAACTTCTAAAACCACATTTCTGATTGTACACTAGATTTTTTAAGAGCTAAGAAATCTGAGTGGTGTGTGTGTGTGTGTGTGTGTGTGTGTGTGTGTGTGAGAGAGAGAGAGAGAGAGAGAGAGAGAGAGAGAGAGAGAGAGAAAGACACATCCAGGATGCTCTGAGGTATGTGCTGCCCAGAAACATGTTCCAGGCCTCTGCTCAGCACATTCCAATTAGGCAGGCCCTCCTGCTGTGGTGTGGGATGCGGGAGAAAAGTTGGGGTTGGGGTTGGGGCCGGCTGAATGGAGGCTACCTCTTAATGCAGGCTTCCCAGAGCACCCTCATTAGCACCCGGGAGTCAGCTGGCGCCATGTGCACCCTCGGTGTTTTCTGCTGTGCGAAATGTGTCAGCCATTTTATTTACCCACTCTCATTCTCTCCATTTCATACAATTAATCGTACTTAATGGGGAAGGTTGATAGTGCTGACTTATTTGGAGCCTGGAGGGAGCAGAGCAGCTGTGTCCCGGATCAGAGGACTGATCTGTCTAATAGGCTGTCTTGTCACCTGATTCATGGGATGAATGTGCGCGGCCAATTATGTGAATTCCTGTATGAGAGAAAGATGACCTTGAGCCCCAGCGAGCCACAGTGGCTCCATGCAATGTGCTCATACACGGAGGCGTGCCACTGGCCTGGCCTAACAGCAATGCGGCCCAGCACTTGGCAAAGATTTCTCCTTCAAGAAAGAAATGGCTCTCTGCGAAGTAGGTGAATCTTTCATGACTTGCCAAGAGCTTTGGAACCAGGTGCTTAGAAAATGAGCATTTGGGGGTTTTAGCATCTACAGATTTTAAGACAGAGTAAAACCTCTAAGCTTTGTCCTGGTATGCAGACATAACCTGTTGTTATCAACTTTTTTTTTTTTTTTTCAAAACGAGAAATTCTACAGAAAGGCAAATATAAGTATTTTGAATAAAAAGGTTGAAATGTTATAAGCCAACTGCTGGATATTCTATTGGGTAGTTATTTCATAATCAAATACAGGATGTCCCAAAAAATGTATACACCCTTTGAATGATTATTAACTCCAGTGGGTTAAATGTGAAAAGAAACATCAATTAAGCTCTCAGATGCTAAATGTGCATACATTTGTGTGTGTTGGTTTATTTGGATACCCAATCATGCTCACAAAATATCAGAATTTTTAAAAAGGTAAGTCTAGACACAGAAAACAAACTTAATCCTCGATAAGATCTTGGAGTCAAAGTTCACCACAGCTTTAATGTGGCCCTACCCGCTGTAGGACCGCACTGTGTAAATCGCCCTGGTGGATGGGAGGAGCTTACTTCTTCCTGAGGGTCAGCCAGCTTCTGGTTTTGATCTGGGCTCTGCTGCAGCTAGGTCTATGACCTTGGGCCGGTTACTGCACAGTGTCAGCCGCAGTCTCTTTGTCCATAGCCTTCTGTTGCCACTGAGATGAACTTTTTAGAGGTTAAGTAAGAGAAGCTACAGAAATAACTAGGCTCTGGCATATATATATTTGTGTTAGTTTCCTTTCTTTTCTTCTGATTACGTTCTAGAACCAGTATTTTTCCAAATGTCGTACAGTATGTACTCTTAGCTTTGGGAATCACTATGGAGAACATCTAAAACACTTCACATTTCAGAGAATAAAGCCTAGACTAAGGTGACTAGATGTGTCCCGAGTTTGGCAGGACAATCCCGATTTTTAACAATTTGTCCCGCGTCCTGCAATATTTTTTAAAAAAGTCCCGATTTTTGGAGAGAATCTAATCGGGATTTAAAAAAAAACAACAAAAAAAAACGCTGCAGGACGCGGGACAAATTGTTTAGAATTGGGACTGTCCTGCCAAAAGCAGGACGTCTGGTCACCTTAACCTAGACCCAGAAAGAGAATGACGAGCTTGCAATGCCTTCGAATAGCAGTGGCAGCGCTGGTGCCAAAACCATGCATCTGTAGATGCTTCCAGTTTTCTCCAGGCCAGAAGATGACTTCCCGTTGTGTAGTGAGTCCCTCATCTGGCTCCAGAGCGGTGAATTTCAGGCCAGTCTTTACTAAGCAAACACTTTTCCAGAACTGCCTGCAGGTACACGGAGATGTGTACAGAAACCATACTCTGCTGTGTCCTTCTGTACACGTTTACAACTTTTGACTCCCTTTCCTTTTCTCTCCTAGAACGCTCAGGGGACTACAGGAGCATCGACACCCAGCATGTTCAGGTAAGAGACTTTCTGGATGGAGATACGCACTGATTCCCTTGGTGGGCACAGCCTGGTGGTCATTCTTTCCTGGGCTTCTCCAAAGATCCTACTGGTCACTGTTCCCCCGGTTCCTCTCTCCTTGCCTCCTTGGAGGGAGGCTGGGTTTATGACAAATGTCAGTTCTATCTGTCCTGTTAAAATTTTATTTTCAATGTTTATCTCTTAAAGATAAGAGCTCTTTGTTTTTTTGTTTTGTTTTTTTTAAGATAATACTATGTTCACATCTAAAACAATAGTTAACTATAATGCCTTCAAATCAAATATCCAGTTTGTGTTCAGTACTCCCATTTGTCCCAGTGGAGACAGATCTCTGAGGGATGCAAGGACAACCCGATGGCTACAGTTAGCCCTGCTGTGTGGGATACCTGAATGTTGTGCAGAGAGTAGATCCCAAGGATTCTCATCACAAGGAGAAGAAAAACCACATTGTTTTCCTCTTTTTCTTCCCTTTTGTACCTATAGGAGATGATGGGTATTACCCTGGTAATTGTTTTACAATATATGTAAGTCAAGTTATTATGTGGGACACTTCAAGCTTATACAGTGCTGTATGCTAATTACATCTCAATAAAACTATTTCCAGTGTTTGAAGGAACCAGCAATTCAGTCTAGAGCAGTGTTTCCCAAACTTTTGACATATGTGTACCCCTTCTATAATTTTCGTAATGCTGAGTACCCCTCATACTCAGGAGAACGTAGAATTAGGCACAACTAAGCACGGTGCCGTGCATATCCCCACCAAACTCTTTCTGTACCACTGGGGGTATGCATACCACACTTTGGGAAACACTGATGGCTGAGGTGTGGGCCTGAGATCAATAGTATCTGCATTATTGGGGAAACTTGTTAGAAATGCAAAGAGTTGGACCCTCCCCCACATTGACTGAATCAGAGACTCTTGGAGGTGGTTTAACAAGCCCTCCAGGTGATCCTAATGAGCAGTAGGGTTAAGGAGCCACTGGCCTAAAGACAACCAAATGTTATGCTCACTACACACCTTATTTTACACTTGTCTTTGTGTTAAACACAACCACATAATCCCAAGACTCTCAAATACTTATCACCTGGATCAGGGTCATATACTATGAAATATATATTTTGGTGTTTGTCCCTGGCTCCTGGCTAGAGTCCCTAAAACCCTTGTGATTTCTTAAGAGCAATAGGAGTACCTTTTGTTGTAATATTTGGTTATTGTCCCTAGCTCCTGACACTGCTCTGTGGTCATAAAGGTGAGAAAACCATCTTTTGTTAATTACCTCCTTTCAATCACACCTGAGTTTATGCGCATAAGATGACTTTTGGAAGCCCCTAAATATGAGGTCTAGTTGCTATGGGAACCAACCCTGTGATTAGAGGATTGAAACTTTCAGCCCTGACTTCCAGGGAGTGTAGAACAGCTGGAATCTTAGTTAATCCTCAGTGGCCAATGCTTTAATCAGTTATGCCCACTTAATGAGCCACCATAAAAACCCTATAAGAAACAGTTGGGAGAGCTTCTGGGTTGAATAGGAGGTTGATGTGCCTGGAGAGAGCATGGAGGCTCCACACGCCTTGCCCTAAGCATCTCCTCCTTTGGCTGTTCCTGAGCTCTATCCTTTATAATAAACCGGTAGTCTGGTAAGTAAGTTGTTTTCCTGAATTCTGAGAGCTGTTCTAGTAGATTACAGAACTGGAGGGAGGGATTGTGGAAATTCCTGACTTACAGCTGGTTGGTCAGAGGTTCAGGAAGACCATCTGGACTTCTAGTTGGCATTTGTGTGTATATATGTTTTGATCCTCACCCGAGGGGTGGGGAAGAGAGAGAGAGAGAGAGAGAGAGAGAGAGATACATTGATGTGAGAGAGAAAGATGGATCTGCTGCCTTCTGCACACTCCCAGCCCAGCATGTGCCCAACCCGAATGCAACTGGCAACCCTTCAGTGCACGGGATGATGCTCAACCAGCTGAGCCACTCCAGCCGGGCTGCAGTTGGCATTTGAAGTGGGGAGCAATTCTGCAGGACTGAGCCCTTACCCAGTGGCGTCTGTACTGGCTTTGGACAGTGAGTGTCAGAATGGAATTGGAAAATTGCTTGGTGTCAAAAAACCCACTCATCTGATTTCAGAAGTGTTGAGTAGAGGAAAAGGGGAGCTTTTGCTTTTTAATTACCAAAGTGGAATCAAGCTTTCTGTGCCTGGTGGGGCCTGTCCCAAGTGTGCCCCACCTTTAACCTCAGTGGGCCTCCAACTCAGCCTGCTGCTGGATTTGGAAGCTTGCATGGGCTGGTGGTGGTGGAGGTCAGGACCAGGACTTTCTGGGACAGGACAGACTGAGTGAAATGAGAGATTTAATTTACTTGATAGAGAAATTGGTTTGTTTTTTAAAAGAACATTCAGATATACCCAAGCTATATTGTGGGTTTGGTTCCAGATCACTGCAATAAAGCAAGTATCACCATGAAATGAGCCAGAATTTTTTTTTTGCTGGGTAGGTTCTTCTATTTGTGAAAAAAGAAACATCTGTAAAATGCAATAAAGCAAAGCGCAATCAAGTGAGGTATGCCTGTACTTCTAATGGGGTGGTTCTCAACTCTTGGTTGCACTGTGGAATTGCCTGGGTGGCTTTTTAAAAAACACTGGTCACTTGGTCCGACTCCCAGAGATTCCAGTTTCAATTGAGTTGGGTGTGTGTGTGGGGTGGGAGGGGTAGCAGCTGGGGCAATGGAAGGGGTGGGTCCCAGCATTAGCATGGCTTACGGGTTCTCCAGGTGATTCTGACTATAGCCATGGTTCAAAACCGCTACTTAGGATTTGTATTTGGTTTGGGATTGCAGATGAGAAATAAGATGGACATATATTGCAAGAGTGTACCCCCTGGGTCTTACCCTGCACATGAATAAATGCTTTTAGGGCTGTGCTTTCCAGGCTAGTGACTGGATATGGGGGACTGTTTTTCTGCCATTCCTAGCTTTACCTGTTTGTTGCTTGATTTTTAGCTGGTGCAGGCATGTTGCGCACTATTGCTGACCAGCTCTAGGTAAGGAGGTTTGACGACCACATTTGCATTTATAGCTTGCAGGTGACCTCCCCCATCACCTCTACAGCTCCAGTAAGGGAACTTCCAGAGACTGAGGGTACATATTGCAGTGAGAGGCATTTTAATTTTTCTAAGACTATCAATGGGACCAGAGCCTGCAGCCCCGATGTTATGGAAAGGAAAGATTGAGCTGTATTTTTTGGTTGAGTGTTGAAAAATTCCATGGAAAAAGGAAAGGGAAACAAGTTCTACCACTTGTTTTTCTTGGCAGGTTTTATCACCTCCCCTGCCACCTCCACCCCACCCCCAAGTTTCTGGCAAGTGTGATTAGAAATTGACTTGTAGGATTTGCTCACACTAGCTTCCCAATACATCTTTTTCTTGCTTGCTGCTGACTAGCAGTAGTTAATTTGCTATCTCTCACTCATGTTATCCAAAAATCACAGAACTCATTAGAAATAAACAGCATGAACTTGGTCCTCACATTTGGAGGATTAGCCAGATGTAAATCTAAGTTGCACTTGGGAGGTATCTCGGGCCTCATTTAAAAATAAATAGAACTCTAGCCTTGAGTGGAAACAGATTTTTCAAAAAATGAAATATCTCACTGGAAAACAAATTTTATTTTTCCAATAAAAAATATGGGAGGAAGTAAGCTTTTCTAGATGCCAATGCTTATTTTATTTCATGCCCTTTCCTTCTCCTTGCTGATGGCAGATGTGGCAGAAATAAAGACCCAATTTCATTTTCCAAAATGGGAAAAATTTAATCAATTCAGGAATTTATTCTTAATTGGCAGCAGACGTTTAAAACCTGATTGGTCACGGATGACTATTTAATGTGTCTTTTAGGAAAATAAATATACATTTATGTATTTCCCAAACCTCTTGTGGACTCGTCATTGCATAGCAGGTTATTGAGGTGTTGGGCTTGAGGTTTTCTGATTCTTAAAGCTTTTAAAAAACATTTCTCACTAAGACAAATTGAAAGAGCTGTCTTTCATGTGATTACAATATATGATTTATGTGATTAGAAAATTTGTTTTCTATTGATATGCAGACTCACTGCCAGCAATACCAAATACTCATCTGCCACCTGTTTTTAATTCTTGCAAAACCTATAATTAGAATGAAATTAAAAATACCTTACCTTTGACGGATCAGAAGAGTAATTCAAATTTATTGAAACGTTTTGTGCTTATCCTTCCAGATCATGCTACATCAGATGAGGACACAAATGCCAAGGGGTTGACTCTACCAAGTAGATAATGTTTCATGCAGATGAATGAGTTGAATTTAAAGACCTGCTAGACTTTCCATAAAGATTTGCTAGATTTTCCCAGTCATCCTAGTTTCTAGCACTCCCCAACTTTAACAATTGTATGTCATACTACCTTCTATTTTCTGTTGGTTTATTGTGACAATGACTATTTGTCTGTGACCTGTCATAATAAAACATCTGCTTTATCAAAACCAGTACAGGACTTTCGGCTGTCCTAGACATATTCCTGCCCATGAAGAAATTTGTTCACTTTCTATTCCTGTTCAACCCTGAGATCAAATTTACAATGTGTATTCCTGCTAGTGTCCAGGGATGAAGATAGTTGACCTGTTTAGCTTTTATTTAGTATTTCAAAATAAATACATGGTCAGGTCTGCAGCAGACTGGCTTTTTGGGGTTCACTACAGAAATGCTCCTTTTTTTCAACCTGTGTTACTGATGGTGTGTCATGAGGGATGCGGAAGTAACAGGAAATAATGCCGGGGTCTTCTTATTTCTGAAGAGCTACTCTCCTTTGAAGCACTTTGTTAGCAAGGTGCTGTAAAATTTCAATAAGTAGGGCTGCAGGGAGGGGGAAAGAGAAAGAAAGAAAAATGAAACACCGGAAGCAAGTAGCCCCATCCATATTCATGTCATGTCCATAGGGTCTGAGAAACGGATAT